TTTTAAAATTAGCTAAAAATTAAATAGTTCAACACTAACACATAATTTTATTGGCTATAAATGAATAATGATATTGAATGTGACGCACTGGAATTATATAGAGCTATTTTTTCACTATTCGAAAGTAGACATAATAACTCAAAATCGATGAATTTCGATTTGTGGCAGTGTTTTGTGTTAGATGCGCAATTATTGTCTTAAAAAAACACTTCACACTATTATAATAAACGATCGGTGTAAGATACGATACGATGAACAAACATGATCGATAATTTTTTTTCCGTGTAGAAACTTACACGTCACACAACTTTTTCCGCCGTGTTGGAATTCACATATGCACTTTTTTTTTTACCGTTTAGGAACTTACACACTTCATTTTTGTATTCATCTGGCCGTGTAGGTATAGAGGAATTTAGTGATTACACATCTCATAATGCGTATATTATGTAGTATGAATACAATTACGAAGGTATGCATTTTTTTTACCAGTTATTACCCTCGTGTGATGGGTAAATACGATTCGTCGGGGAATTGCAGTGGATGAGTTATGGATATTTTTGGTTGTGTCGCGAGATACCTACTAAACGCTCAGTCGAACAAAAGTTGGTTTTAGCGAYGAGCACTGCAAACGTAAAATGTCGATATACGTGACAACGTCTTATACATGCTTGTATATAAATAATATAATAATATTACTACAATATTCTTATCATCATCTGCTTCCGTATCGCGAGCATGATAATAATAATGTGACCTTTATGATATAGTGATTTGCACTTGACCGGGTCTAAATGGATTGAGCGCATAAGACATTATCTGCAGATAAGAAGTTTTGAAAATTTATTAATACATTATTTATTGGTCTAGAGCATCGATCCTCACATAATATGTGGTATGCTAGAGAAATCTCACTAGACGAAAAAAACAATTTCAACTAATAATTTTAACATTAAATATTAATTATTATTATTAATATTATTTTATTAAGTGAATAAAGTACCACGCGTACAATAATCTCTCGAATGATTTAACTACCTATTTAAGACTKAAGGTTACCAATAATGAGCCCGATATTGGAGTCTCGTTGTTTATTRAAAACAACACCGAAATTCTCATTAAAAAATTATTATTTTAAAACACAACCGTTGTGGAACAACGAACAAAATTTAATATTTAATTAATCGCAGTATATTTTTTGATTTTATATCTGTTGTTCAATAAATGTCGTACTTAATGTTCATAATAATTATTTAGTTCCTAATTAATACTCATAAACTAGAAATAGTAATCACCTTTGTTTAACTACTTGACGTTTTTTTTTTTTTTTAATTAGGATAAAAATAAATGACGATTAATACTAGGTTAGACCATTGGCCAGTGGTAATAGGAATACGAGAACGTTCTCAAAATTTGTATGACGTATGGTGCTGATATAAAAAAAAAATGTATTGAAAACTGCTGGTCTAGAACATCACGTGTGTGTACTGTATAAAATACTGTTATGTATACCGAAAAATAATAATTATACGAATTAATAGTAATTATAATATATTATATAGAGCCACTAGCCTGCAGTAGGTACCTACATAATAATTATTAAGTACCTATACCTATTTTTACGTCTCGACAAAACTTGCAGAGGTTGTCGTTATAGTTACTAGTTCAATTATAATATAATATAATATAGGACCTTATATTAAATATTGTGTAGGTACTTAAATGAAACCCAATGTAACTMACTCATTGTAAACCAAACAACCTTGCGGTATATTTCACACGGTGCGAGTACGTATGCTCATTAATTCTTTGTTTGTTTTTTGTACAAACACGTCGGGCTGTCGAGGATGAAGTTTTTTTCGAAAAAGACGATAATATAATAATGACGTTATGTTTATGTGTAGACTTTAATATTATCGGTATACGAATGGAGAAAAGGGGTTCATGGCCAAGTATTATTTGGTGGTGTATTGCTATGCTGACGAGCATTTGAACGTAGAACTGAAATCTGAACAAAARTCACGAATACGACCTACCACACATGWWTTGTAATATTTAAGAATAACGATATCACTATAATATTTTCGTGAATAGAACTGATTATGATATACTTAGGCCACGCCAAAAAGTTTCTCATATCGTAAAAATATAATATTTAAAAAAACAACACGAAAAAAAAATAATGTATAAAATGTTCACTAACGTTAAATTCAATCAATCGATTGTTGACTGTGTTGTTTGAACGAGGATTAACAAATATTTCTGACTTTAAATGTTTAGTACCTATTGAATTTTCGATTGAAATGTTGAACTGTAAGTGGAAGGATAAAAAAAAACCCCGATCTCTGCAGCAATGCATTGAAATTACATTCTGGAATTTTATTAGTTGCAACTTGCGAACATTTATTATTTCGTCGACACATGGCATCGCACGTGAACTTTTACCATCGGTATAACAGTWTTTTGCCTTAATTCGAATATCAAATAAATATTTTAGATTGTGAGYGGATAGTGATGAATGTATTGATTTTACAATGTTTTGTCTCTTTGGAAACCTTATTTTTTGTTTGTCAGTAGGTCTCTTTTGAGACAGTTAAAATGCCCCGATTTTCCACTTCAGTATTTATCTATTTATTTTTTTTTTTTTGGGAAACTGATCTAGTTGGTACTTTAAAATCCACAATAATAGTTTTCAAAAGTGGAAAAAAGAAAAAAAAGATTATCGTTCAAAAATCAGTTTTTGACGCAATTGATTTAGATTTTTTGATGTAATTTAAAATGTTTGGCTAGGTTAAAATACTTCAAARTTTAATACAAAGTTATTCATAAGCTGTTGTGAGTGGAAATAAAAGAATTTGATCATACATCCACAATACATTTTCACGAGTATCTTAAGTTGAAATTTCGACAAATTTATAAAAATCTTGAAAATTTCAAAACTATTTTGAGTAGAAAATTCATAAAAAATGTTCTATATGATATGTATATATCTGAAAATGTAATACAAGATTCCTCATAAGTTTTCCTACTTTTAACAAAATTTTACCTTAAAGTCAAACAATTTTTTTGATTGTTAAAGTTCAATTTTTTTCGATATTCACTACCGAAATTTAAACCAACGACTTTGTTGTAATTCGAAAACGAATAACCGAAGATACTTAATGTACATTTAATTGTTTTCTATACGTGACAATTAATATTTTGACTTATTTAAATTTTTTTAAAGAAAYTTTCAATATTCAATTTATTTTAATTTTTATAAACGTCTATTAATTTGAATTTATCAGGTCGAAAAGCTTGAAAATGTAATACAAAGTTCCTCGTAATATAACATAATTTCAGTTCAAAAATATTAAATATACATGTAGGCACGATTTTTTTATAAGCATTTTCATTTCAAATGGTTTACGAAATTCATCAAAATAACGAAAAATTGTAAATTATCTAAAGATAAAAGTTTATAAGAAAGTTTCTCATAAGTAGCTGTGACCAAGAAATATATTAATTCTGTAATTTTGTGTATAGATATTTTTATTTAACATTTTTTTACGGAATTAGACATTTAAACGTAGAATCATGATTTTAGTTGTTATGTCGTTCTTAAAAATATTAAATATGGGTATTTGAAATTTTTAAAGTATATTATTATCTTATATTCCAAYAATGACATTTTCAAACGCAATTTTTGTGAAAAAAATCAATTTTTAACCCTATCTACTGTGTATTGTACTATTGCCTATAATAATAGTAATAAATTACCTACTTTGATAGCGRTAAATATCATAAAATAATAATTATATACTTAATATTATAGCCTGTCTTCGTTCGGAACAGTTTTCCGCAGACATTCAATGATTTCACATTACTGAATCCAAATTTAAAACCTGTAATAAAAAAAAACAACTACTCCGACCGTAGGTCGTGTAACCTAACCTACGCAGAGGTGAATATTAAAACAACAAGTAAAAAAAATAAATACCTTACCGAGCCTAAGTTGGATATTGCACACTAACGAATATAATAGTATAAAAGTTTCGCACAATGTTCTATAATAATAATAATAATWATTATAATATATTATGAGAGAGTTGGCTACCGTTCGTCATTCGCGCGTCAGCATGTATGGATGCGACAAATTTCCATAGTGGACGTGCCAAACRACGAACAGGACCTGTGCCAGACGAGATTTTCATACGATTATTTTGTCATATTATTCATATATCATATTGTATATTGTGGTACTTTATACTTACAGCTCGCTTAATATACGATTTTATTATTGATTATTTTCTATGGGCGTCAATCGACGACTAGTGATCTCTTAAAATATTATACTTAGCCACATGGTCGTGCGGCACACACATTTCCGARAGTCCAAATGATTATTAATATTATCCGTCGGATAGTGTATACACAAGCACATAATAATATCATACCTCTAAATGCATCGTTGTCATTAATTATTATTTTAAAAGGTGCGCAACTTTCATTCCGACCTTAATATTATTATTATTATTTTTTTTTTTTTGATAGACGTACCGAGTGAAAGCTGTACCGTTGTCAAAAGGGGCAACACGTCAACACAATGTATTGACAACGAATGTGCCAAGACCGGCCCCGGTGGTAGATGATAATAACGATAATATTGTATCCTTAATTTTCTTCGACGATAATCTTTTGCGAACCGGACAATGACGAGAGCTGAACACAAAATCGCTTTCGTATTACTACCTATTTACACACATGCGTGATGCGTATTAGATTTCATAGTGTTTTGGCTCGTTGACATTTAAGCGACGGTCGACGTACAACTGGCGGTTTGCCTCACACGGCACCACTACGAACACTTAAAAAAATATATCATAATAGTCACGTTTCATTCATCAGAAGTAATACAAAATTACGGAGGCAGGGGGCAAGATGAGGAGCACCCGAAGATGTTGGACAGAAAATATGAAAAACAAAATGCTTTTAAATTAAATAATATTTATATATATATACGTTAATATATATAAGTGACACAATTTTTGTACAACATAATATTTTATAATCATTAATTTTAAGTACAAAAAATCTTGGGATAGAGAAATGAGGTTGCGGGGGGGAGGGGGAGTTTGTTATTAACAAATTACTCAGTCAATTTAGATCGGGGCGGAATCACCGTTTTGCATACCGGATCATCCGTCGATCGATTTATCACAATGTCAAGTGAAAAATAGTCGTATAAAATATTTTTTTTTTTTTTTTAAAATAGGAAAAAAAAATGTACATCACATTACTTTGATGATATTATTATACACGCGCACGGCACATACACGACGCGTGCCTACATCTGTCATAAACACAATATTATATTAATTACAATATAAACGTAATACTCGACGACACAATAATAATGTATATATAGGTAGCTGATGTTATGTGCGTACGGCGCATGCGCGATCATGATAACAACAATAATAATATGCATGAGTATAAATAGGAACAACAAAGTGAGGTGCGGGGTGCAGCAGCAATGAGACTGGATGGTATTGGGGGCTGCGCTCAACRGGGCGCAGGGCGACCGGCTGCTAAGTATCCGGATTCAGCTTGCGGTACAGATAGTACAGAACTATGTCCATGGCGGCCCGGGCATCCTCYTTGCTGTCGTGGCCGTTTTTCAGTTGGATCTCGCGGCTTATTATTCGCCAGGCCAGACATTTCAGCGAAAACTTGAGTGGTTGGTTCGGGCGAGATCCCGTGTTCGGGAACAGCAACGACGTGTCCACCACCAACGGGTGGATTATGCGGAGCACCAGTAGGTCGGTGCCCAGTCCGTGGCCGACGAGGATCGTGTCGCTACTGATGTACCGCAACAGGTCGCGCCGGACCTGGTTCAGCGTCTTGGACGGATGGCGTGCGAAGTGGTGCTCGGTGATGCCGCTGTACCGGGTGTTGTAATCCACGATCGGGCGGCTGGGCTTGACCAGCGTGTCGTAGACGACCGTGCCGCGGATGTCCACCAACGTCACCTTGGTCACCTCCAGGCCGCACTCGGTGTAACACATTTCACAATCCAACGCGAACACGCGGCAAACGTCTCCAACCGATTTCAATAACGCTTCTTCCATCATCAACATGCACGCTTGTTTGGGACACGACGAGTACGGAAACAACACGGACCAGGTGCTCACGTCACCYGTCTCCACGAAATTGCCGATCTCGTTATCGCCGTCCAAGAATCCGTTCCACACGTGCTGATTGGCCTCGGTGCAACCCGGCGACGTCTGGCTCTCTTCGAAGCAGCAATTGTACGCGCTCTTTTTCATGGAGTCAATGAACTTGTACTTGCCGCAGTGGTACGTGCACCGACCGGGCGCCGCCGACTTCTGCTCGTCCTTTACGTTGTAGAACGACGAGCACCGAACGCACGGCACGTGATTGTTTGACGACTGTTGTCGCTGTTGTTGCTTTTGCTTTTGCCGTCCGTCGTCAGAGCCTTTGCGATGTCCGAGCTTTCGTGGAGCCGGCGGCGGGGACGTCGACGAAATCTCCGTCATGTCCAAGCAGAACTCTTTGGCCACAGGGTTCAACGCCTTGTGCCGCATGTTCTGCCTGTAGCAATGCGCGTACCCAGCCTTCATGGACTTTACCGGAAATCCGCTGTCGTAGAGCTCTTCCTCTTTCAGCACGTATTCCGCCTTCAACTTGCACCAGACTTCATAGTCATTCATGAATAAGTAGCTCCGCAGGCTGCCTTCAAACACTTCCCCCGTTTTGGAAATAACGGACGATAGGTGCAGCGCTAATTGAGGTGACGGAATCGCGTTTTCTACGTTTATCGGTTTTTTTTCATCCGTTGTAATTGTCATGATCTTCTCCGGCACCGTCGTTTCGGCAAGCATTTCTGCTTTATTYTTATTGAGCTTTTTTCGCAACCTTTTCCCCATTTTCTTGGACGTCGTTTCRAGATTGCCATTATTGATTTTATTATTGTTGTTTGTCCTTGTACAGTTGTTATTCAGCTCGTTTTCTTTGTTTCGTAATTTAGCTTGTTCCTTTTTTGTCAGTTCAGCCGYCGACTTCTTGACAACCTTCTCTGAAAAATACAACGTGGAAACCAATCGTCAGTAAAAAATAATTAAATACATATTATAACACAAACCATCATAAATATTACTGGGGAAATCTTGTGAGAGGCTTACTGTATTATGAATTTTACGGACCACGACAAGCTCATGACAACAGATATGGTTGGGATGTACGATGATTAAGGTGAAAAAAAAAATTAAGGATTTATTGCTATGACGCTATACATACATAATACACAAATTCATGWTATTATTTATAGGAAATTATATTGACATACCTAATTTTAATTTAATATTAATGGGTAGATGATTTTAAACAAATTCGAATTGTTTAAAATATCTGATGATGGTATAAATAATAATAAGAATTCCAGATATATTTAAACATTAAACTATACACACCAGCCAACACTAATAGTTGCCTCGGTGCGCAGTTGTCTGTTGACAGACGAATGTTTGCAATAAAAAAAAATCATATTTTAAAGATATTTATATTTTTGAATAGTTAAAACACGTTTTGAAACGTCATAGCACATTATACAGCAGCTGGTTAACGAGCACCACCGCGTGTAAACCCTTAGTCAGTAAGTAATCGAAACCACCATCCAAAAAGTAGGGAACGTAAACATATATATATAGGTACATGAAATATTATAACGAGCGGGCACTTTAAATAAGCTGGACATATTGTCACGATGTGTGCGGGTGGTGCGTGATTTATTGTATTATAAGAGTGAGAATTTCGTCAGTAAAAAAAAACACCTGTTTTGTAATCGAATACATTTTTCGACGACGACGACGACGCTTCAGAATGGAAAAAAAACTTTCAACGTGGTGTGACAGCAGTTTGCTCGATTTCAAATGTGTCGATTACACATTTTATACTACACCGGTCGGCGAGAAAGCCTCGGCTAACAACAGATGTGCAGACGAGAACCTTAAGACCAACGCAGAGTCGACATATTAATAGCAATTATTGCAATATGACAGACGTGTATATTAGGTATATTTATGATAGTGGTATTATAATAGTTATTAACTGCGATATCGAGAGATCACCACCCCGGTTTTTTTAAAATAGATTACTTTTTAGTTTCTACGCCATCACCACTGGCCGGCACTGCGACTACGTGGCGGCGACAACAATCYCGTTAAGACATAAAAAAAACGCATACATTATTTTAAATCAGCGCGATATCGTGGAAAAATTAGAAGGCAGAAGGCGGGTACGTATCTACAGCAGAGTTGGTGCGTCATACTTTCTCGGAGTAATCGGAACGCTCTCGTTTATCGAAGACTTTAACTCCATCGTTGCAATTATTGCAGCAACAAGAACACCACACGAGAGTCTAGAACTCGTACCTATTCCACGCGAGTGTTGTACGTGTGTATAATATAATGAATAATGATTGTTTTAGTTACGATCGAAATAGCTTACAAAATAATATTATTATCCGGTAAGTGGTGGTGGACATCACCGATCTATCGATGACACACGTGTCTCGTCGTCGTATTCGGAAGATTTCTCTTTGGCRCGAGAGAGAAAACCGTGAAAAATATAACGAACGTTTCGGGCCTTGCTGGAGTTTGAGTAAAGGTATATAAAAAGACGAGTAAAAAATACTTAACATTATATATTAAATTAGTGTAAACAGMGCAGTCCCGTGTATAAATCGAGTGCAATTCAGTTTTGATAAAGCGAAAAGAGCTTCACGAGCTGCAGTGGGGCATTTATACGACAGCGAATCTTATATAGAATAGATATAATATAAGCAATAATAAGATAGTATTTTTAATATTACGATAATATCGTCGTCGTCAATACGGGAGAAGAAAAATTAATCTGCTCGCTCGTCTACTTTCACTTGATCTCTATTATAATATAAACGGCTGCAGCTGCTGTATATGACTACGCGTGAACGATCAGACAACTTTCTTTGGTTGTTTAAAATTTTAGTATAATTTATATGAGCGGTATTTATAATGTATATATACAGGATACACATCACGAATATAATAATATATGATACATTTAAGGCGACGCTACACGCGCATCTATTGTCTCCGTCTTACAAGTGGCAAATTTACGCTAGGCAGTTCACGTTTAATTTCGTTTGTTTATAAATTAGAGTTGATCAGCTTATCACGAAAAGATAATTTTTACAATAATTCAATTTCTAAACGACAGTTACGAGCGTTTTTAAATCGTGCGTTATTGTAAATCGCTAAAAATCAAATTATACAACATAATATTATAATGTTTTTACCATTAAATTAGTTTTAATATTAATAATATTCGTAATATAGTCGATTCACTATATATATTTTTTTAACTACAACCAAACTTAACGTTAACTGCTGAGCCTACATTTGCCACCTATTATGTTACGCACTTGTAAGACAGAGACGACAAATTCCGGTGTAACGTCCTTTTAAATACGAATTCAACGTAAAATCAGAAATAACTAAACAGAATCAACAATAAATTCACGTTATACATACAACAGTATACGGTACACGAGTATCTATCTTTTCAGAACTATAGCAGCCGGATCCAAAGCACCGGCGCCAATCCTGTATTCAAGTTTTAAAGAATATGTAAAACTTATAATTAAATAGGTATTAAAATACCTATTGTGTGCTTCAACTGCGTGTCACGAAAAAMGGTTTGGATTTACAAACGATAAGTCTGCGATAAAAGTAATATTTATTTGCGAAGTATAAAAATAAAAAATCTAATAATGTCACGTGAAAACGACTTTTTAGAAGTCCCTTGCACTGTTCCCGAACAGCGTTACGTTTCGTCTATATGCGATTCATACAAATTATTTTCAAAAAACGGTAGTGTCATTTGCCTATTCTATCGAATATCGATGTGTCCTTCCCCGTTTCCCGCGAATCTACACCGAAAGCAAAATAATAATATGCATGAATTATATATAATTAAAACGTCTACGTCGTGTCACTCTAAACTGTTGGCACGTCAATCCGAAACAACGACAGCAACCGTTTCGGAGAAGTTTACCGTCACCATATTATATTACAACACCGAACAAAATGATGAGAATTGAAAATATGATACATATATATTAATATATTATATTTAGCAGTCGGCGCGAAGAAAATACCAACGTCAGAGAGCTAGATGACGAGATCGTATATTTACTATTTTTTCCATCTATTCGTAACCCGAGAGACCGAGGACCTGCTGATGGTGCGGGGAAAAAATTATAGACATGATTAATATATTTTTTTTTTTTTTTACTGTTCACACGTGTGTGTTAAATAATAATATTGTCGATTAATTATTTTTTTTTCCATTTAACTCGTACACATAAAAATTGGACATATTAATTATCGCCGTCGACGCCGTCGCAGTCGTCTYAAACTGACAAATTCTTGTGGAAAAAAAATGTACTTCTCAGCTCGAACCACTGCGGACAACGCCACGCCTTTAAATGCCGTACAACGGCAAATACTGTACATTATGATTATTTTACCGCACAAAACGACCGACCTTTATATAACCCTAATTCTAACCCCGACCTAACGCTCTTACCTATGTTATATACAAATATTTATACTTAACACTGCAGCTCTAACCGCTAGTTCAAATTGGATTGACGAATATATATCAAGTGCGTTGTGCGCCATGAGAATCGTCCTGTATAACATTTTTTTTCTTGATAATTTGTTCTAGATGATGCTATCGGACATATGCCACGAAATATAGGTAGTGGTCGTCAGCCTTGAATTTTACAGTATATATTTTATTTCATTTTTTTTTTTGAATACCACTATATGAGTATTACTACTGCTAYTATACTACCTACCATTTTACCACCTGTTACAATATTTAACAATTATTATTTATTTTTTTATATATATTTTAATATATTATATACGTAAGTAAACATTATATATATTTATTATAAGTAAAGCCTCCATGCGTTTAGGTTACAGTGTGTGTAGGTACGGCGGCGGCTAAGGTCATTTTTTTCATCGTGAGACGCACACAATATTATTTGCTATAAGATACGAGGATACAGGCATTATTATACTATTGTATAATACCAACAACTGAATAAATTAACACAACTTGAGAACGAAATAATAATTCATGGCGATCGTAATGACCCAACCACAGATGCGAGAAAATCTCGGTCATAATCTAAAGAGAGAGAGAGAAATAAAAATAAAACCGATTAAACATACCATTAAGATGCTCGAGGAAATATCAAATAATATCCATGTCGAACAATACGCAAAGATAATAAAAGACACGTGGTATACGAATCATTTTCAGCCTGAACTCGGAAATGGCGATGCTAGGAAAACAAAACACAATAATATTRTCGTGGATTTTTAAAAACACGCATTTCTCGTCGGGAATTCGTAAACATATATTAAAAATATATTATTATACACACACGCCCTGACATCGCACCGCTGTCGAGGTTGCTCTTTTGGTATATATAGTACAACATTATAACCTATTATAATACCACTACCATATTCCACCGGAAGTGCCCAGGTACAATAATATAATATGTAAATAATTGGTTCATATATATACAGGATATCAATCGGAAATTGATTAGAGGCGAGCCCAGACCGGACCTATAATATAGGCGTAGAACCGCCGTTCAAGCAGCAGTATGCAAGCCATAAAAAATCAAATTTTGTTTAATTCGTGAAATCATAATACATACTGCATAATCGTCGTTGGATGCGCGTACAATATTTCATCATCGATCGACCCAACCCTTCGAAGGAAATTTTCCGACAATATTATTGTTGCGGTGGAAAATTTGTGGTAGAAAATCATCATTGTTTCGACCACAAGTATCCTCCTCGAGTATAGCGCAAAATATTTTTCTACCTACTAAAACAATAATTGTGTTCGAGATTAGCAGCCGTTCTGTTAACTTTTGGTACTAAGCAGTCAAGTTTGCTTAYATAACAACTTTGCAGTGGAAGAATGTTTATAAGGATTTCTTACGAATTGAAAAAGATTTTTTCACCACGAGCACGTGACGTGTAATTGAACACGACAAGCGGCAATTACGTACTATTACGCGCGCGAATTATATTATATATATCGCACGAGATCGAGGAACGGCGGAATAAGGCTGTAACGGGACATAGCAGGCATATTATATAGCATTATAGTACAGCTTTATAGGTATGAATGAAAATATATAATAATACACAACGAACGGGAAAAACGGTAAAATAAAAAACCACCGAAAAACGAATTAACCTATAACGCAGAAAACACGGTACCGTCGCGGTCGAGTCGGCGTTGTCGCGGATAACCAGACCGAATCGCCACCGAGTTTGAGTGGCGACATTTATAATATTATTACACACACGTTGTAGGCAGTAGTCAATGTGACGACAGACAGTGTACTGACCTTTCGTTACGAACGTBTCGGCCGCCGTAGTCGTAGTGTTGTCATGGCGCTTCCGCGCCGCCAGTTGTTGTCCGTTTTGTGTCGCCGTGTGATGTTCTTGGGACGGCTGCTGTTTTCTCTTACTCGCGGCGGACATCACCACGCTGACTTTGGGCGCCACTGACGGCGACAACTTTCTATTACCGCCGTTCGACTGCTGACGCTCTGGCTTGACGTCGTTCTTGGTGGACGACGTAGACGAAGTGGACGAACGGCGACTCCTCTTGTTCCGGTGATGATCCTGGTATTGATAACTATTATGGTCGTCGTCATCGTCGTTGTTGTTACAGTCCTCGTCACCGTCCTTGTTGTGGTTGTGGTGGAGACCGTCACCCACTGAAGAGTTGTTGTGGCCCGGTGACGGGTCAACAGGAGTGGAGACCGAAGTCGCAGCCACCGCAACAGATTTGCGACTCTTTACTGGTGACGGTGGAGCCGACGAGGGTTTAGATTTTTTGGAAATTTTATTCGCCGGCGGATTTGAATTCCCCAAGTCATCCGTGTCGTCTTTATTGGCGCTGGTGGTCTGCTGTTTGGATTTCGTTCCTGAAAAACGAAAATAATTTTTAGAAAAATATATAAAGYGCTAAAATATAATATAGTATTCACACGACATCTTAATCTTAAAGTGGGGAAGGGAACTGTACTTTCGACATTTTTACAATTTCCACCAGTTTGCGAWTAGGTACTCCGAGCTAAATAATAATAATAAGAAAGCCATGGCTCATAGACGTAAAAATTAATCGCAAAGTCGCAGCGTGCAGTTATAGCGATTATACACCGGTGTTTCGCCTTTGATGAAGTAATTCATAAAATTTAATTTTTGTGCATAATAATTCAACACCAATAACATTAAGCCTATCTAGATGCAYTGTAGCGATGCATAGCTTATGTGTATACCTTACCTGATTTTCTAATAATTATATAATCGGGTACAATTGAAACTGTAGTAGGTAGGCCATCATATAGGTTTACATATCACGCACGTCTGGACAGCATATGAAAAGACCGAAAAAAAATAAATGATAGAGATTTCGTTATATAAAAAAAAAAAACTCTGTTGGATAACTAACTAGGTAGAATATCGTGTTATCAACTCATAAAAAATTTTAATATAGCGTGTTCAGTATTTATATGGGTGGTGGTGATGAGTTGAAGGAGATGTGACGTACATATTATAATAATATACAGTGGGCACGCATAATATTATATTATTATTATTAACCTTTACAATCTCAATTTTGTCAGAAAACGCCCGGAAAATTAGTGACGTAATGCCCATCGTGTTAACACGACAGGTCCAGTGTGTAATATTTGGTCCCGTGTATCTATAGGCGTCAGCCTATATATTACACACGAATAATAGTTATGTGCTTGACTTAAGTATAGATATTATAGATTAATAATAAATATGGATTCTATAAAGTATCGTTCCCTCCAAATACCATAGTCGCAATGATCGATTTTTGTTTTCCAAAAACATCATACCTATAGTTATCCCACATTCACACACCGAGTTAACAACAGTTGTTATAATATATAACTCAATTTCCCAGAACCCAACGGGAATTTCCCTATATTATAGTACATGTACTCCATTCGAAGAGATCTAACTAAATACTATATAATTTAATCAACTATATTATATGTCTTGTATACAATATAAAGTAGATACTTTATAGTATTGTTTTTTACACAAGATTATAATATACCGTTATTTATTATAATATAACATAATATACTTTTCCTAAGATCGGAAATATTATCGATACATATTTTAGACAATTATTTTATAATTTTGACCCAGTACATATAATTTATCTATACATATTTATACCTAAACCAACTAATATAGCGCTTTAGCATACAGTTTTGATATAAATACTAATCTAGACATTTGTGTACGTGCATAATTGTTATTTTACTCAATTATTTGTCGACCAAGCCTAACGCCATTTTAGATTCAATTCATCGGTGCCTATAACCACTCGACGACAATAATAAATAATATTGGTACAGCAAATAACTCTAACACATTTTTATTTTCAATTACACATTGTATCGTTATATAATGTGTACGACGACAACGACAATATTATTGTTACCAATTGTTAAAAAGAGCCAAGAACTGGTGGTAAGACATATTTTTTCGAAAATAATTCGTAACTATAAATATACTGAGATGCTGAAATTGTTCAATACCATAATAATTATATATTATATTGGGAGCTCAACGCTCAGAAATTTTGTATGTTCACGCTTTATACGCCGGAAAACGATGGAGAAAACAAAGAACATCTGCAGGGCAGTGTGAGGTTATAACATACCATCACGCCAAATACAAAATGTATAAAACTGTCGTCGAGTTATCCTTGTTTCGTTGTCGAACAACAAACAAAGCCGTTTCGGTTTTGATGATGCGACGACGACGACAATATTAATAATAATGATAATAATAATAAAGATGGTCCTCTGCAGTTTCGAAAGAGACACGGTTACAAAAAAACGCGTATTTTTGTATTGTTCGTTCGTTTCGTACACGTATTATTATTGGGCGTATTTTAAACTTAACAGCACATATCACCACACACACACCGCACCTACACACACACACGTTGCATTAACGATTCACGGCCAACGCACACAATTGATCTTTTTTAAGCAGTGTATAGAGAAGATTTGGTTTTTTTTTATTGTTTTTTATCGTTTTCTCGAGTTTGCACGCGGCGTAATGTCGTATTATTCTACGTCATATATTATAATCTCGAGACTATCGAATATTGTCAAGTCCGTTTTGATAACGACGGTCACATACGACGACAGCTATACAGCTGTGTCACACTACAATAATAATGCATACTGTATAACTTATTTTTTTTTTTTTTTATAGTTATAAAGAAGGATATCGTATATACAATGTATACATAACATGACCAGCCTATAACACAATACACATAGTCACACATAGATAGGTAGGTTTCTTTTTTCTTTCAAATATCGTATGGAATATATCCCAAAATATATACATATATACATATATATACAACGTTCTTCAGGTAGAACATTATTTTTATTATTATTTCGACAAAATCTTCAGACATACCAATTTTAAACACACGTTATATGGGTAAGTACTAGTATGGCCGTTGCAGTATTTTCATTTCCACAGTATCGAATCGATAGAGAACTTCATTTTTATTTTCGGAAGAGCGAGCTCCCTCGACACATCGCGCCATTGAAGTCTAACCGACATCGAATCGTTCCCATAGAATATGCAATATATTATTATAGTTAGTCCGGGTCYCCGGGTATAACTGCAGAGCTGTGTTGAAATTAACAGTCTCGACTTTTCCTATTAACCAGAACCAAGGCTGCCATCCCACACTGAGCAAATATTTATACTTTTAACTGGTGACCGCCTATGTGCACGTATATTATGTGTAATTACTAATTATTAATTACTCATTAAGCTGCGGAGCACTGCAGAAGCTACACGTCTCTCCTTTATCGTCGTCGTAAGAGATAACATTTCGTTCGCGTGCTCGAGTAACACTTCATAAACAAGTTTGAGTMGTATTGTAACACGTAACCCATTATCGTGTTAAACTAACAACAAATCATTTGTTTTTTTATTTTKTATTTTGTTCGATTTCAAGTTCAAGTACCCCACGTGCCAAGTACTGCGGTCATCCTTTATCGTCGACGGTCGTTCCGCTTTCCGCTGGTGCGTTATCGACACGGCAAACTACAGTCATCATTCGACTCTGGCAGACCGCGAAGCGATTTTGCCTCTCCAAGGATCTCTCTATAAAAGATGCGCGTTCCTCGCCATTATTATTATTATTATTCAATTTTCTTTCAGGAGTCGAGGGGTAGGGGGATATCTTGTTTTTTACGGTACACTRACTCGAAACCAACTAACGCACATGATCTCGGTGCATTCAAGGTGATAATACATATTATAATATACGACTTTCCGACAAAACCCACAGTGAATTTTCGACAGACGCGCGCGCATACACACACGCATTGTCTGCACCAGATGAATAGAAACCTAACGTCAATCATCGGCCCGCACTCTCCRCCCCCTCTACACTTGCCGTCGCAACCACATGCACTACTGTAACTATATTTCTGTACATATTGTTCTTTACTGGTCGATGGTGATGTGGTAATGCGTGCGCCTCGAAAACTGGCAAAACTAAACTCCAAAATGTAATATCATAATAGTGGCTACAGGTAGAGGTTAGGGTGCCTATACACGCGTATCAATGACAATATTATCGTTAATTGAATTTGTCGTTCTCCAATGAGGTTAACGACTATAATGTGAATATACCGTGCACACAAATAATTACTTATTGTTACTATATTATAATATATACCTCGAAATCATAATACACGCGACAACGTCCTTCGCATGTGCCAACAATRTATTCTGTGCCTATACCTCACGGCATATAATATTATATTATACTATCCACACCCACGTACGGTGGTGTGCCTATAATTACTGTGTTGGTCGAAGAAAATCATATAAATTCGTCAACGAGACTAGGTAAAAATAAAATAAGAAARCCAAAGGAAAAACAATAATATAAGACACCGACGTGRCATATTATAACACACTGTACAGTGTGTCTATTTAATGTTTTCATATTTTTACTGATTAATATTTAAGCAGTCAGCTGCAGTAATTCAGTATGCCCGTGTGACCTTACATATTGAAATTCTGTTTGTTTTTATAGCTAGAAACATAGTGCTTAAATATTTATTTCAGGAAAAGTTTTTAATCATATCGATGTGCTAGTGCATACACATCTTGGTTTTATAAATACCAACACACATACTTTTCAACCAGATTATTGCCGTAATTGTAATTAAATTATTAATATGGTCTAWACCTGAAAGTGRTTGAGCTAAAGCTATTTAAAGCTAAGGGAATAATWAATCGAATCTTTTTTGATATTTCATTAACTTTGTCAAACTCATAATAAGCACTTTTAATGGATTCTGAAAGAACGTAGTGCTAAAAAGTGATGAGAATTTATATTCAAACATAAAATAGCTGCAACTCAGTCGGCAATTGTAAAAAATACTAAAAATATGGGTGGATGTTTAAAAAATCCAGAATTAATACTTAGTTGCTAGATTTGCTACCCAACGAGACTATAAATAAAATCACATGTTGCACCAGTTTTGCAAATTTGTTACAGTTCTGTGGTTTTACTCACAAAATGTATAGATACATACAAAGGGCAAACTAATGGAAGTCCACGGAAACCCGACCATCACTCAACACACCTACAAGAGTATTATAGGTACGATACAGAATATATTATATACATTGTCATTTGGCATTCGATCGAATTTTGATTAAAAATTGATATAAAAATGTACCTATAAACAAGTTGAGTTTAAGAACAGTTGTTACGAAAAGGCGAACGCGCGTACTTATTGCCTACACKTACACAATGCAATAAATATTATATAAAAMATTGTTTCGCGGAACTTTCGACTCGTCGTCGGGCAACGGTGTCCACACACACGCGTAAAAACTAATGATTTATTATTAGGTACCTACTCAAAGTTTGTGCGACAATCGCATTTTAGGTCAAWCAGACGACTGTTAAATATACATTTGATTATAGATCTTAAGGCCTGTAGTTAAAAATTCGTCCATTTCATGAGACCTTGTTCTTTTTTTGAGGACTACCTATTGTTACAATATTTTATTCTCGGTGATCACTTTCAAACGTAATTATGACACACAGAGTAGAAACACAGTATCTCCCAGTAGGCGATTTCAAGATCGGTATAAAGTAAGAATACTTCAAAAACAAGTGATGAAAACACGTTCACGTACGCACATAACTATTAAGTAAACGTAACCTAACCTACCATATAGTAAGTACCTAATTATCATTTAATACGTTATGATTTTAACTTTATGYAAACCTCGGAAAGTGTTATTGTTATCTTTTTTTAATTTTATTTTCAAAAAAGATTTTACTCTTTACTATGCTAACATCATACCTAAAACATTTACTAACTATCAATTTTTTTAAATTTCTGCATAAATTTTAAACTTCAACAAGTTTTTTTTTCGAAATACAACTTTCSATATTATAAGTATACATTTTTACGTTATAACTTACAACAATCAAAATTAGACAGAAAATATTTTATGGAAATGAGCATAATATAAGAATATTGATGGATGAACAATATGGATTTACAAAAGCTTATAAACAAAAAATATGTTTTTAAAAATATACCAAAATGATATTTAAATGTAAACACCCTGTATGAGGTATGCTGATAAATCAAAGTATATAATACTACTACGTTTTGAATTATTAAATTAAGAGCTACAGGAGGAAAGAAGATAATGTGTTATTGTCTCGTTTACCCCCTTCCATAGTGCTGTGTTCTCACACGTGTTCTATCAGTTTCGTAAGTATATTCATCACAACATACATGTGATTTTTAAGTTCCATTAAAACGCATTTTAACAGCCAACCTAAATTTTAGATGTTAGTGTAAAAATTAAACCGTTAGTAGTCGTATGTACCTAACTAAATATTTAATACTGAATTGGTTTCATTACATTTAAAAAATATGTAGGTAGTTTATCTGTTATGGATATCATTAAAATAATAGCCATAACATAATACATTTGTTTGTATTTACAATCAGAGAATACAATATTACTTATGTATTGCATTATATAAATACGACTTAGTTGGCACATTTTAAAAATGTAAGTTTATTTTAAATAGTTAACAAACGTTATAAATGGATGCACCTACCGACCTACCTAATCATTGTGATAATTGACAGTGTCACAAAAACAAAACTGACGAAAATTAATAACAATATTATTATAAATAAGTATGTTTTAAAGACGTATATGTACTGTTCGTGTAAGTACCTACATAGGTATAAATGTTTTTACAATATTATTTACCATTAAAATACTTAATTACGCCGGATACGTAATATATTATTGTCTACGCCAACCGATAGCTATTTTTCTTATTTATTCAAGAGTAAAAAAACGAGGAAAAAATATAAATACTATAAATACACAACATACCTAGTTTGGTATAGCAAAATTATTATGTTATGACGATAATACATAGCAAAACGTGCACGCATGTACGAAATTCCGGTGGACGTCAAAAACCCAAAACAGTGACAATAATAATAATAATAATAATAATAACAACAACAATAACAATACGCATTGAATCGGATAGTCGACCCTAAGTGGAAATTGTGTGAAGGGGATCGATGTGGGTGGCATCTGGGATAAAAACGGTACAACAAAAGCGGTTGGATCAGAGCGCAGACTGTAGAGATTTTTAGAGCTACAACAGCAGCCAGCAGGCAACATGATATATAAAAACGCGTTTTATTATATACGAGTAGGTATTTGAGAAATGAATTCTTTAGCGTCCTTTCGTCRCCGGTGTGTTTCGAGGGACCACGCAGCACAAAACATGTTGGCCTTGGATATTTTACTGCGCAGTAAAAACATCATATTTCATCAGCCCCGCACCGAGACCCCATCGAAGGAACCCTCTTTCTTTTTGTTCTGTCGATCGTCCCCGCCCCTCCCCACACAACCCACAAAATTTTAGAGGGGTTTGATGGCGAACGGCGGCAACTGGCGAGCGACCTGCTAGCTGGAACAATGAGAGGGTCGTGTTTTCGAGGCAAAACGGTTTCTCCCATATGGGCTAGCGAGTCCGAGCCGTCTAAAACTTAGATTTTACACGGCAAATTATTTGAAAAAAAATAAAAATAAAAACCAATTCTTCATCGATTCCGCGTATTTCGAAACGTGGCGTTTTCTGCAAAACTCAACCACAGTTTAACACCAAAATCACGTAATATCGTTCGGTTTATACACCATTTGCCATTGAGTCGGTGCTAAGTATAATACACAATAATATCATTACTGTTACCAAATAATTAAACAGGACGTTTATGTTTGTGTAGACGAAAACTCGAGATCCTGAAATACCGACAAGGCTCTCGAGGATCTCGACAACATTATTACAACCGCGCTCATAACCTCCTACYGTGGTAACGCAACACACTATACGACTATACTCGCGCGTTTACGATCAAACCACCGGTGCGGCGTCGCCGTGTACAATATCGCAGTGTGTTGTTGGGATTATTTTTAGAAGCCCTATTCGAGGCGGTCGACGACGCAGCAGCTGCCTCTATCGTTGTGTTTGCGCGCGCGCTCTCTCTTCTCGCCCACTCTCTCTCTCTAGATCACTCTTTTCGTCTTTCTCTCCCTCCCTCTCTAGATCACTCTTTTTGTCCCTCTCTCTCTCTCTCATACTCGATCACCCCCTTACAAGATATTATCGTCTTCTGTAGCTTACGATCGCGCGGGGAAAACGCTATTTTGAGACACCCTTGGCGTACGCGTGACAAAGAATTTTATTTCACTGCGTACATGGCATACAGGTACCGATGGCGTTCAATAAACAAAATAAGGAGAGGGAGGGTTGGAGAGAGACATACGAACGGTGTCCAGCAGCCCATCGGCCGCGAGATTCATCGCAGCAATATTATAATAATAATAATAATAGGTTACATAAAGAACAACGACGATGCTGCTGCAGTCGACCTACCCGGCGGCGAACCGGAAACGACCGAATTCCATAGACATGAAACCAGACTAGCGCGCTCTTAACCTACACGGCTACACGTCCTGGTCAATCGGCCGAACTATGGTAATAACCCACCTGGTATCCGACCCGCGTGGGTGACATAATACGAATAGAAAATAAATAATAATACGGTAACATTAGAAACACTCACGTTTTGTTGCGGTAGTGGTCGACTGCTGTTGCTGTTGGTGTTCGGCCGTCTGGGAGATTAAGTTCGGACAAAAGTATAGTATGATCCTATAAGTCGAGACCCCAACTACAAAGACCCAAAATATCACATAAACGATGAACAAAAGAGAACTCATCGAGTCGTGGTTGTTGGCATTGTCTTTGCTCATCGCGTTTGTGGTACCAAAAGCGTTCAGTATGTTATTCGCGGTCAACGCAACACTGTCGACGACCAGCACATCCAACCCGAGGAAGAAACACGTGGTCATTGTGGTTATGCACATGTCACGGCGTCGTCCTGGTGTTCGCAGTTGTAGTGGTTGTCGTCGCACGCTGTTTGTTCACAAATAATTCGACAGCGGTACGCTATGTCGACGCGGTCGTATGCGATGCTTGATGCGAGCATTTAAAAAAAACACACACACACAATAACCGACGGTTGAGGAAAAATAAATGCCTGACCGAGAGATCGATTGAATTATGTCGAAGAAAAAAAAATAATATTTACAAATTAATGTTACTTAACATCATGACCGTACGAGTAGGTACGCGAATCGCGTGGTATTTTTARTCGTTAACGCTCGATCGTCGTCGTTATCGAGTTCAAGACGCGAACGCGAAGTATCACAGCGCAATATTACGTAGGTATAATACCTGCAGTATTAATATCATAGAAATAGTACGAAACAAAAAAAAAAATTAATAATAAAAAAAAAAATTTCACTGGCGRGAAACGATATTGTTGTAACGCGCGCGGGTCGCGGACGCACACAACGTTTTTTTTATTATTATTATTTATTACGGACACGCGCGCACGGCACACGGACGGAGAGAGTTGATCGCACGACGCGTCCAAGACGGTACCGGGGAAACGAATGACGGGACACGGGAGAGAGCAACGAGTCGGTGCCAGACGGAGTGTTAGCACAGTGAGTGGCCCGCCGCTGGCTCACGGCGAGCTGCAGCTGCTCGTCGGACGACGCGACGACGGCTCGACCGCCGGGATACGCCATCTGTCGGATTGCATGGGCAATCCGCACGTAACGCGTGGAAACTATAGTAAATTAATAACAATAAATTATTGTTATAACCGTAGAACAATAACAAACGACAGTAAAAATTATTATTATTATTATTATTAAATAATTGACGTGGAATGTGCGGTATCGTATGCCCAAATTTAGTACAAGGTTAGGTATTTTAATACAAATTCAAAAATATCGAAAAAATACATTGTCATCAAATTCGTCAACGTCGCGAAAATGTTCAGATTAATTTAAATTTTTATAGCTAARGATTAAAATTTTAAACGAGATTTCTAGAAAGTAGTTTATACAGTAAAAGAAAAAATATAAAAAGACATACCCGTCTTTGATCAGAATCGTTTTGATGATTTAACAATGAATTCAAATTTTACATGTCCCCGTGACCCACTCGACGACACTGGCACTCACTTGCCAGATTTTTTTCCATCTAAAACCAATTGCTTAAACTTTTTAATTTAATCGRAAAAATATGTTAACAGGCTTAACGATTACGTATATTTTTATAGAACAATAAGTTGCGAACTTACATATGTTATCACATGTGTTTTTGATGTTTTGATTGGAGCATTAATAAACGAAATAATATCAACAGGACTACAATGGAATTTATTCGAAACTGAAACATCATTATTGAGTTAAAAGAAAAATTAGTATTGAAAATATATAGATAGTTACATAACTAATGTAATATAAAAGGTATTATGTTCCGATTGGCAATTACACTAATAAATAATAATTAGGATATAACTATAATCAATTTCGAAAGAAGTTAATTCTCCAGATCGTAAACTTGTTATGCGATAATATATACGGTCATTCCAGTTTCACCTTCAAAAACCGTAAGGATACTTACTCACGTATAATTCAACGTAATAGTTTAATATATTATATGGGTCACCAGTTCACCACCTATTATATAAATAATAAATATCTACAATAATATTTATAAATCAAAATTATAAATTATCATAAAATATGAGTAAATTACATGAAAACTAACGGTGGCTCAATATGATCATCKCACTAAGAAGTATTATCAATTAAATCGGCATAAGATCCGTCGCGATTATTCGACACCATCACTGGTGTTCTCGAAAGATCTTTATAATATATAAGTCTCGGTGACCGTCGTTCGTTCTGGGCTACTCTGGACCGCGTCTTAAAAAAATATTTTTGTATTTTATCCGCGATAAACGATCCAGCAAAACGAGGATATCGCCATCGCTACTGTTGTGGATGAATAATTGCCGAAATCATCGAAGAATATTTATACCATTTATGGGTCTCGACGACCACTAGAATGCGTATGAAAATACATTTTATTTGATAAATACACGAACGAGCAGAAACTCAGCCATTATAATATCACTCGTGTCAAAGATTTTCGTAGGCATAATCGTACGATCGTTGGCAGGCCTGGCAGGGCTTATAGAATTGTGTCCAGCAGCAAAATTTTAATATGAAACGAGCAGTAGCAAATCAAAAAGTGTACATGYAGTGCTTCTTATTCATGCGCATACTAAGAGGTGTAAATTATTTTAGAATACTTTGGAGAGTGGTATTAGATGTATATATACAAGAAACATTCGTCAATTTTAGGCACTGGATAAAGGCCAATAGAGAGCAAAACCAACGCTCAATCTGCGGAAACGCACCGGGTGTACGTACCGGCTGAAGTTGCTAGCTCCCGGATGGGTGACCACCCGGGATTTTTAGCAACATATCCTTGCCACACATTCACAAACACGTGTTAGAACTCTACCCACTTAAAAAACCTACAAACTCAATACACAAAATAATAACCCCTACCRTACCACCCCACAACCAATGGCCTATGTATAGCTAATGGCCTTAGCAGTGGCGGATTAAGCAATTCGCCGCCTACAARCAGGACATTTGCCATTATTTTCTATATCATTCAATGTTTCCATAAATTCTTTCCAACTATTTTTGAAAGAAGAACATGCATTATAACAACTAGACCACCCAGTAGCTCTTTTCACTRCCCTCTGATTTGGTTTTAATTTTTGTAAATATAATATAATATTGCTTGTTTTTATATTTATTTGTAAATATAAATATTTATAAAAAACATAGTTTTGCTAATAATAAAAATTCGAGTTTATCGCGTTCACCGAAACCATTTCAGTATTCAGTGAGTTAATAGCCTAATGAGTAATGACTAATATTYATAAATTATAATATAATTTTATAAATAMATTTTTTTTTAAGYGCGGCAAATTTGCCGCTCCAATCACCTGATTACTTTGCCTKTAGGGTAACYCGCCACTGGGCCTTATAGTCGCCGGGCCTTAGATCAATAAAAAAATAAAAAATAAATATTATTATAATTATTATTATGACGCGTTCTCCCGACACCCGTTATGCCGTCGCAGCGAGGTCGGGATTTGTATTATAATTATTTCCACTGAAACGCCGAATGTCCGAATGACTCGTTTTTCTCGTGGGTAAAACGTATTAGTTTTTTATACGATTCGTGCTCATCGACGGTGGTATTGATTCACGGTCTCGCGGGTGTGTACGTACTGTGCGTGTAGTTAGTCGGATTCAACGTTCCGCAGGAACCTATCTCTCACGTGATGACGATATAATATTACATATTTTATGTTATGTTCGGAAACCACGTTTTCCGTGTTTAAACGAACTTGGCAATGCGTCACGGGCCTTAACCCCTCTTGTAGTCTCACGATAACTATAATGTTATGACATAATGTATAAATAATTTGCATCATCCACACTGAAATACCTACCTATACGAATTACGACGCCCGCGGTACCAAAAAAAAACAGAATACGAACTGACCACACATACTTTGTTGTATGTAGGTATTATAACTATTTCCCGTTKAATAAGCGAAATCGTATATAMATTTTTTATTTTTATTTGAAATTACATGATAAATCATTAGTCAATTCGGCTGATTTAGACTGATAACTCGGTAACGGTAATTTCTGCAAACTGCAGTTTCCCTACTCATCATCACACACGACCACACAAACATCGCTCTCAAAATAATATTAATAATATAATATTGTGATGAATTTAATTATTCTATTGTTATACATTATTATGATGGATTACAGCCTGTAGACAAAATGTAGACAGTATGGTAACGCGTACCTACTTACATCGAATTATATTTTTTGTCAGCAACAATAATAATATGTATCTGTATAATAACTGTCTCGAAGCTTTTTCTTTTTATGTATATAYGGCCTGGATTACTTGTGGAATATGTGAGTGGGTGCATCAATGCACTGGAACTTGTATAATACTATGTGCTTAAATCGTAGGACATGTGTACGACGTTGTTGA